GAAAACACACTGATAAACAAACTCACCATCACCACGACAACCAGCATCACTTTTATCATCCCGCAAACCCTAAAATGTCTGGAGACCATCGCAGCTTCTCTAAAAGGTCTTCCTCCAGCCTGTCCTCCTCCTCTTCCACTTCTTCATCTGCATCTTGGACCTCAGAGCCCAGCCCGGATGATGAGACGTATCTCATGCACAAACCCCAGCATTCCCTGTCCTGCTTCAACATCCCTGAGGTCCGAAGGAAAAGCCATGACAGAGAATCCGAGGACTTTGATTTTGATCAGAGAGATCAGAGGCACCGCCACAGCCTAGAAAACGCCATCGAACTGCTGCCTGGTTCTCAGCATGGACATCGGATGCCAAAACTCTCCCGGGGCCATAGCAAAAGCGAGGAGGGCCTTCAACAAAAAAAGCACAAAGATGGTTACTCAGCAGGATCTCACTCCATGGATCATGGGCCACTTTACAAGACTGCAAGCCTGGGACAAAGCCTTGCCTTTGGTGGCAATAATGACAACACTCTAGGTGGCAGGGCGGTTCCCAAGAAGGCTGTTTCATCTATTCAGTTGCCCAGCAAAGGTATTCTGAAAAACAAAGATGAGGGACAGAAAGATGGAAACTTCAGGAAAGCGAAGTCTATGGAGGTGCTCTCCACCAGGGTGCACGTCACAGGAACATCCAAGCAGATCTCTATGGAAGCTGCGAGGGATAACTTTGTGAAAGGGAAGCTACAGTTCTCTGCATTTCTGGACGAGATCACCAAGCAGGTTATCAGTCCCTGTGCTCTTAGCTCTTTTGGCATAAATACACCAACGCCACCAAAATCTCCCAATGAAGAGCGCAAGAACTGCAGAGGCAAGCAGGAGAGTTTCATGCCGCCACCAAAACAGCAGCCCATCAGAGCTGAGAGACCAGATTCAGGAAAAACAGATTCAAGCTCACTCTCTCGATCCCATAAGAACAAATACCACAACCGAAACCTGACCAGCCCTCCACCGCCACCCCGCCGCCCTTCAAAAGCTGAAAGACAAGGGGCTGCTTCAGGTAAATAGCACCACAGGCAATATTCTCAGATGCTCACTGATGGTACCAGCACCAGCCCAGAAACTATCCACACCAACCTCTCGAAACACAAAGGGCGACATCAAAGTAGTCATGCCCCGTCCAGGAACTTCCATACTAAGCAGGCGAAGGGATCACCGCCGCCTCTGCGAGCCGCAGGGCTGGAGTCAAAGTCCCATTCGAGTAAATCATCCACCAGTGCTAGTTCAGAGAAAAGTGACAGACCTAAACACATGGGACACAGGAGGCAGTCCAAACCACACAGGGTGAGTTCATTAAAAGACCGAAAAAGCCATTTTTTTATGTTTAACGTAATGTTTGGAGCAAAATATGGCCAGAACCTCTTAAAAATGTTTCTAGAAAACATTAAAATAAATAAATACATAAAATATGAAATGTACTGTTTTGTATTCCAATAATTTTATATGTAATCATTTATCATGTAAATTTGAGATGTGCGATGGATTTGTATCGATTGTGAAATAGATAGATTTTATTTAGTAATAAACATTTGATAAACATCAAAGTAGTCTAAATCTATAC